GAGAATTTTAGACTTCATGACAAACCTCAAGATTAATGAAGAAATCTCTTCTGAAACTCCTAATGAAAAAAAAAGTAATCTACAGTAGTTGAGATCCTGCTGTGACAGAATTCTGAACATGAAGAAAAAAGGAATTTAGGAAAGGCATACTGAAGTAAAAACCAACCAACCAACCAACCAAAAAACCCATGGAAACGAAACAACCCAAACATCTGGATTATAAGTAAATCAGTTAGGAATCCTCCGTCCCGTTATTTCAGTAGTATTTGTAATATTATGGATGTGAACTTGAAAACATTATTTTAATCAAACAGGCAATTCAGAAAAGGAAAACTATTTCCCCAAGAAACAAATTTTCCCCCTCCAATTTCAGAACAGATGTTACTAGAAGTGACTGGCCAACTACTCTCACCAGAAATCACACAAATAAGTTTTTTCAAGAATAAAAGCTCTGAAAAATATTTAGGGTTCCCTCTCTTAATTTCTGAGGCCGACTGAAGCTTTAGCTCGCTGGAACAAGATGGATACAGCAGGAAAGCATTCTTGCTGTGCTTTAAGATTTACAGACACATATTGCTCTCTGCAAACAAAGTTACAATGCACTTTGCAGGTCTGTACCTCGTTACTCTTGCCTCAATTGCCAGCCAGGAGTGTCAAAACTTAAGACCTATAAACTTCTGTGCTTCTCCTGCCTGCCCAGTGCTCTGGGGGAAGCACACCCTGGCCGTGGGGCAAGGCACAGGGTGAAGGTTGTGCTTCAGCCTCTCTCCATACCTGTAGAAAGATCAGATGTAATTTAGCACCTGCAGGTTGAATTCAAGTCTGAAAAAGCGAGTCTTCAGAGCTGGGTCAGTGTCAGACATCCCCAAATCACTGCTGAGGATCTTGTCACAGCTGTAACCTTGGCCAGTGCTTTAATTCAGAATTTCATCTAGATTCTAAATCATACATTACTCTGAAGGGGAGAAAAAGGTTAGTCAAAAATCATTTGATGTAAGATCCAGTCTGGTATCTGCAGCTCAGCTGACACAGAGAACATCTTTCAACACCACCTAAACATGCTTAGCAAGCCCACGTGACAATCCTAACAAGAAAATGAAACATGCATAATTATATAATACATAATATTATCCCTTTCCCATATCCACCCCACCCCTTCAGACACACAGTACCAATTTACATGTATTCCATTCTACTCAAAACAGATGGTAACATACAAGAACTGTGATACAATTTTCTTTATTAAAAATAATTTACAGCGTTGGTAACATTTTATGCGCAATTTTCATCAATCAAACAAGGTTTATCTCTACAATACTTACTGAACTTAAAACTTACACTGTTCTGTTGGCTTTAAACAGCAGATATTGATTTGCAGTTGCTTAAATATGATTAATATACATGGTTTCATGTTCTTATACTTAGGTGTAAAATGTATGAACATCAACACTATCCCAAAGCTTTCTGGTTTGGGACAGGGAGGAAGAGGGAAGCAAGGAGAGAAAACATTTGGAAAAACTGTAACAGATTTTTCCTCCAAATCAAAATGGAGAGAGAAGTCTGGATTAAACACATCTAACACACCGAGTCACTTCTCAGAGAGGTACATGTCCTCCTAAGATACTAGAGAGGTCTAATGAACAACGTTTGGGGGGTGATCACAGCAGTTCTGTCCATGCCCTGCACTGCCAGAGGCCCCACCTAAAGGGGTCACTGCTGCCCACCTAAAGCTCACAGGATCCGAGCAGTCCTAAGTTAAACATCTTCCCTTGGCTGCTGGGCTTTACAACATTCACTGCTGGGCTGCTGAGCTGGGCTTTACAACATTCACTGCTGCACAAGGGAGTGGGAACAGGCACGTTCCCAGGGATCATGGGGTGTTACTGCACTGGCAGTTCACCCCACAGGAGGAGCTGGGTCCCACACAGCCCCCCTGCAGCCCAGGGGCACAGACCCAAGGGGAGCAGTCAGCCTGCACAGCTCAGGTGCCACTGACCTGAGATGGACCCGCTGCAGCAACAAGAGCAGGAGCCTCCAGCTGAGCAGCACCAGGCACGGCTCAGAACTCCCTCTCCCCCTCTCTCTCATGGACTGTAAGACACAGGAGTGCAGCAGAACTCAAGTAGCTGCTGTGGTAATGAAAGCCATCATGTCTCTGAAAAGAGCTGAATGCTTTACGGGTGACAACTTGCAGACAAGTCACATCCCTTGAAATTGTGCTTAACTTCACTCCACCAGTTTGCCTTGACAGGGCTTGGATCCTGTCTCCTGAAGCATTGAGAGAGGGTGGGAGGCTGTGTTCCCTTCGAGCTTCAGCAGTTACACAAGCTGTAAACAGGCTTGGAGTTGCAGTTTTATCATCTGCATCAGGCATCACAATGTGCCAGCACTAAATTCCCATTTTCTCCCCAGTAATGTACATTTTCTTGAACTAAATCAAGAATATACACTTTGAGCTGGGATAAAATAGCATTAGACACCGTTGTACAAGGAGTAAGATCTGCTCAGTCACTCTGGATAGAATCAGTGGGAATGTAGCACAGAACAGGGACTCATTCAGCATTCAGCTGGATATTACAATCCAACTGCATCCACTGATCCCCCTTATCAGTGGCAGGAGTCACCGGAAGGGTTTTCATCTCACCTGAAAGGAAACCACATCAAACTAGTGAAACATAAAAACAGATTACACACAACTTCAAACTTTAGTGCACTCTGTCTAATAAAATAGAAAAAGATATATTGAAGTTTTGTCAGTGAAATTAAATTAGTTTGGCCTTTGAACAGTCAAAAAATGAATACACCGTAATTATATAACTGTGAGAGGTTTTGGGGGTTTTGTTTGGGTTTTTTTTAAGGAATGTCAAACATACTATTTAAAGAATTGAACAGTGCATCTGTTAGTTTGCAAGTCAGCTAGCTTAGTGTCTGGTTATAAATTAAAAGCACAGGTAAGTAAAGCTAATATTTTGATATTTAAGACAATGCTTATCAAGAACAAAAAGTCTTCAAGCAAAAGGCAAGTACTGCAGTTTTGTTCTCCAGCAGCAATTAATCTCTGCACAGACCCCTGGAGGTGTGAGGAGTCTTTTCAGGACACAGGAGCACAGCAGGAGCGGGTTGGAGCTGCACTCCTTGGCCAGCTCGGACACAGTAACGCTCAGGGAGTGGGAACACGGGCGGCTCTGCAGCAACTCTGCACCTTGTGCTGATCTGAACTGTGGGACGGGGTTTGCCCTCCGTGTGCTGACAGTCACAGCCACTGCAGGGCCACAGGAGACTCCTTCAGGGTGCTGGGCTCCTCCACAGGGGAACGGGACACCTGGGGAGAGCTGTGAACTGACAGCACATGAGAAAGCAGTAAAAGGCAGCACGGCCACCCGGCCCTCGAACATCTGACAGGTACAACTTATTAGACACAGGTTGTAATTAGAGCAGAGGAATTTAAACAGTCCTAGGAGATGTTTTTAAAGATTTTTAAAGGCTAAAACCCTTCGGGGAGGTACTTTGTTTGATGATATTGCAGACAGCACAGGAAAATCTGATGCCACAAACAACAAACTGCATCCCTTGAAGCAGATATGACAAACTTCAACAGAAGGGCATCAACAAACCTGCATGAGCCAAACAACTGTGAGCTTTGTTTTTAAATGCAGAAATGTTTCCCATATTTCTAAGCACACATTTCATAGCTTGAGCAGCTTTAAATCTGTATCCAGATGAAATATAGTCCCATAATAAAGGTAAGGAGGTCATCATCTGTGATACAGGATCCCACGGGCCTCACGGGGACTGCTTTTTGTTCAGCCCATAACCTGAAGAACAAGAAATTCAAAACTCCGCATCTTTTTTAAGCTCCAGATGAAAAAAAAAATTTCTGCTTGGCCTTTAAGATTCCAGGCCATCTGCTACCCTTAAACCAACAAACAGATTTACAGGTGCAAAAACTGAGCAGAAACAACTGCAGAAAATCTTCTTACATAAGAATCTTCAGCACAATCAGTTTCAGATTTCGCATAGTTTATTTACAAAATGGTCTGATAAAACATCCCCTCCATACTTACAGCTCTCTGCCACAATACACATGTTGATTTTAGCAATGTTTAATAGCACCATTAGAATATTATTTAAAATCAGAAAGGATCTTGTTGCAGTTACAATGATTCACAATCTTTTACATCCATGGACGAAGTAACTTTGAGCACACTAGGACTGTTTGCAGTTCCACAGTACAGATTCCTGGGTTCACACAAGGCATTTGCAGAGTTACCAGTTATGCAAGGTACCCAGACAGTCAGTAGCTACTATAAGAATCTTCGAGCCACAAAGTTTAGACTTCCACCATACTTGTATAAAGTTATCTCCGTGTTGTTTTCAAACAAGGCAATCACGCTGAATACTTTTCCAGTGCTCGTCTTCAAAACAAAAGCAAAAAAAGAGAAACTAATTAAGTTTTGCTTTCACTTCCCCTGGCTTATTACCAGCTAACATTCTAACCCCATGTTTTGTTGAACACAAGGGAATTCAACCCTCTTATGTGCCACTACAGCCCCGAGACCGCTGGGAGCAGAGGGGGGCTTGTTTTAGTGCCCAGTGTAGATGGAGCTGGGAGCGGGCGACATGCCCGTTGTAACCAAGAAAACACCACGTCCCTAAGGTGGCACCACCTGTGTTCTGGGAGAGCCAAAGCCTCTCTCAAATCATCACACCCTTGTCTTTAAAAGCGCCTGAATGAGCAACAGCTCAGTTCTACCCTAACACAGTGCCCAGGAGAGGGAAAACAACACCCAAAAGAACAGTCAGGTGCTCCAGGTTGCATACAAAGTTGTGTAGAAAGAACATGTGTGTATGTGCTTTGGGAAACTTCAACAGCCATGCCAACCTGCAGGCAGCACTATAAGCTTACCTTCCAAGAGAATTAAGTCTTGTTTTTTCCTGCTTTGCTTCCTGTCATCAGGACTAACTTATCTTTCTCTGCTTTCAATCGTCAGCTCGTTCAACAGAGAAATTAAAAATATTGCAAAGATACCTTAACATCCAAAGTCATTCTGGGCGACAGCTCTGGAGGGAACAATATGGAAAACTGCTCTTTGCCAGTGAGACCCAAAGTGCTCGGATTTTCCCCGGGGTGAAACTGCAGTGGAGCGATGCCGATTCCAACCAGCTGACTCCTGTGGACCTTCTCGAAGCTCTCGGCCAGCACAGCTTTAACCCCCTGCAAGAGAGCAGCCGGCACAGTGAGACCTTCACACACCCCTCATGTCCAAAACCCTGCCACCAAACTAAGAGCAAAGACAGCACTTTACACCAGTCCTCTAAGTGCACCGGAGTCTCTTTTAGTTTTATAGCAGATGGAAGCAAACAAGCCAGAGCAGGCCCACGGAGTATGACATGGGGCCTGTCACAGACAGTGACCTCGCTGGAGTTAGCAGGACATGAATCAATGGCTGACTGTTATTATTCTGAATATTAGTGGAAATCAGTCTCCAATAGTGAGATACTGACCACCCCCTGGAGACCAAAGAGACGTCAGCACTAGATAAATGTCTAATTTATCTCAAAGTCTGGTACCCAAGAGGGTAAGTTACATAATTAAGAAATTCTGACTTATCCTGACTAGTGATTCTTTCCCATGAAGATTCTAACAAAGCAAGCATATGATGTGTTTTTAGGTACTTCCAGAAAAAAACAAAACCACACCCCAAACCCAAACAAACCAGCAGTACCAGTAAAAAAGGCCCTTTTGCAGCCCAGTCTCTTGAGCTGCCCAGTCCATACTTCTTTCCTGCCAGAATAATTACAGGAATGCCTTCCTTCTGGTACAGCTCCGCTGCTTCAAACACATCCAGCTGTGGAATGGCAAAGTGACACAGTGTGAGTGACTTCTGAACCCGCTCCCCCATCTCAGAGTAGCTGTGCAAACAAATGCATTCCTACCGTTTGTCCTGATGGGAAGTGAATTGTTTTAGGAGCTGGTTTTCCTATGAACTTATTCAGAAGCTTGATGTTTGCAAAGGTACCTCTTGTCATGACAGCATCATTACCTCTTCGAGCCCCATAAGAGTTGAATTCACGAGGTGTGAGTCTAGAATAAAAAGCAAATTGAAGAGGGAATCAGTTAAAGGTTATCCAGTTAAAAGGGTATTATGATTTTTTTATAATTATTGCAGCATATCTAAGTCTTCGGTGCAAGATGTAAGGAACTAGTCCTCCAAAGATGTAATTATTATAAATCATGAACAGCATGTGTAAACCACTGCTAGATTACTCAGGAGGAAAGCTGCAATTTTAAATTGATTTTCTACAACTTCATTATGAAGTGCTACAAGCAGTGTGGTACTTCCAGAATTATGGGCAGACAGTTCTAGGAAACAACCCAGCTCACTACTCCTCTTACCATTACCATCACATCTATTAACAAGCCTTGTACCAAACTGAGAGCTTTACTCATCAATCAACCAACCATCCTGGAATTAAAGGCCAATTTTTTTTTTCTTTCCTGCAATGAGACTCCTTCAGACTGAATGTAATGGCTAGAAAGAAGAGCCCACACCATATTCAGTTATAAAACTGGGCTTCATTTTCTTAAACTGACCTGTTAGAAAAGATCTGATCATCTGTGCATCTCGCTGCTCCCGAGGCCAGTGACAATGACTAACCTCAGCTAACAGATCAGGCACTGATTTGTCCATGAGGACATCAGTTCTGCCCTGGCATTCCTGTGGCAGCAGCTGTTACTGTGGCCAGGGCTGTGGGGAGCAGCTCTTTAGGGGGGTGTCTCAGTGTCTGCTGTAACCTGGACAGGCTGCCCAGAAGGTGATGACTTTGGGCTTCTCCCCACACAGTGTCCCCTTTCTGCAGAGGGGCAGCTCTCAAGGCCAGCAGCCCTGCTGCTCAGTTCTCTGCCATGTGCAGCACTCCTGTGCCACAGCAGGGGCTGGTGAAGGTGCCAAGTGCTCACCCTTTGCTGGTCAGGTACTTGGCAGCAGCACTGCTCCTGGCAATGCTCCCAGCAGGGGATATGTGATCCGTGGTGACAGAGTCCCCCAGGTACAGCAAGACATGGGCGTTTTCAACTGGCTGGGGTGCAACTGGTTCTTTGGCCTGAAAGGGAAGGGGCAGGGGAAAGAACACAAGGGAAAAGAGTGTAAGAAACATTTGCTTCCAAGACCCTTAGAGACACAAAACATATCTGCAGTATATGAAGGCACTTTGATGTACAGGCTCCACTCATTCCAGCGACACAAACAGTATTTCAAGGACTGAGAAATATTAGGGATAATTAAATTTGTTACTTAAACATCGAAGATTTACTGGAATAGCCATTCCTTTACTTCAATGCAATGCATATCATCTGATGGATAGATTTGTTGTACTTACAAGTTTATCAAAAAAGGAAGGACATCTGATATAAGTAGATTTTGAATCCCAGGGAAATAAAGTTGACTCTGGTGCTTCCAGTAAATTCCATCGTTTGTTTCCTTTCTACAAGAAAGAAAATGAATCAAAACAAACAGAAATTAGTTAATTATATTTTTACATTCAAGAAACCAAAGACTTACTGGTGATTTTCTATTACTATTATTTCATAAATAATTTTCTATCATATATTACAAGTTACCTCACTGGATACTACTTATGAATCACTTTTTAATGCCAGTATCCCTCCCACTTAAAGCCTTGGAAGTCACTGATAAACCAATCACATTCAACTGGAAGATACTATGAAGCTACAATGAAAAGCAACCTTTAAATTATGGGGAATAAAAGACCATTCTTACCTCCATCTTTTCCTTCAATTCCTTAAACATGGATGAGATCACATACTCTTCCTCCACCGTGTGAAGCTCTTTTCGGGTGGGCCAAATATCTCGTAAGTAAATACTTTTGCCATTAAAGCCAATGCCTGAGTAAGATTTCAAACAGAACAGCAGTTTAAAGAATAAAACACGAGCCTTCAGATTTATATTAGAATATAAACATGTACACATTCAGGCCTTCAGAGATGGTACCAAACAGGCGACGGATTTGAGCAGTGGAACGGATGCTTTGCTTTAGCCACAGGTAGCACCAAACAGAGCTGTGCTTTCTCCTCAGGCACCCAGGCTGTGGTGCTGAAAGGCACGTGCAGAGCTCCCCCCACGTGCCCTGCATGCAGAGTTGGAAGCTGTAAGCCAGCACTCACCCAGAGGCTCGGTTTCAAAGTCTATCCTGACGGTGCCTGCGATGGCATAGGCCACCACCAGCGGGGGGGACGCCAGGTAGTTGGCACGGACACAGTCGCACAGGCGGCCCTCGAAGTTCTTCGTGCCAGACAACACTCCACAGGCAATGATATCACCCTGAGAGGCAGACCCAGGTGTATTGTTACAGCAATTTGTGGTGCTTGTTTTTTGTTAGCTACCTCAGATGTGCTTTAGCATTCCACTTCAAACACTTCCTCTAACACTACAGCTGAATGGCAGTTTGCTCTCTCCCACTACCCTTGTCTTTTTCCCTTCTGACCCTCTGATGTGTTCTCCTGTCCCTTCAGTCAACTCCTCTCCTGCCTTTTATTTCTTGTATTTTTCTTCTGCTTCAGAAGAGGAAAAAAGCTGCAGCTGTTGAGACAGTGCTGGTTAAAGTGATTTGAGTCCACAGCTCCTTAAAAACCTCCTCTTCGTTTATGACACAAAACCCACACGTTGCATCCTCCATAAGATTAGATCATATGTATTTACTTTGTAATTTCCAGCTGAATGCTACAAATACCATTTATAACATTTATTATACACAGCAATGGACTGTCAGGTCTCTCTGACTTGCGAATGTGCAAAAACATCACGCAAAGCCCAAACCAACAATGAAGTGTATTTTGCATGGATTGCTGTATTTCCTGATTTCTTAACTGGGTGGGAAACTCATTTCTGTATTTAATAAGCCAGGCAGAGCTTTACCTGTTTTATTGCATTCCTGATGGCTTCTGGCAAAGGGGCCGTGTTCCCAACACAGGTGGAACACCCATAGCCAACCACCTCAAACCTACATGGGAGAACCAAACAAGTCACACATTCCATGGTCACAAGCAATTTGTCAGCAAAACTGCTTTTTCTTTTATTAGCAATCCCTAAGATTTTTTTTCCTTTGGCAGTTAAAACTCTTTAGGAGGTGAGCAGCAGACGTTACATCTCACTGATGCAAGGCACAGCTGGGCACTGCTGCAGAATTATGAGCATAATCTGCTGTGGAGCAACCAAAACCATGCTGAACAACCCTTGACAGCAGCAATGTCAAGAGAAGACTAGTACAGACTGTCCTGACAAATTTGCATCCAGCTTCCACTTTTAAAATACGTGATCAAGTGCATCCTGCCCTGCAAAACACTTATAATCAAGGAGTTGAGTACTGAAAAAACAGAGCTCAGATGGGGTAGAGCTACACATAGTAAATTGTAAAGTGGGAATACAATGGGGCAAAACAATTTTAAGTCAGCAAGTAAAATGCAAATCTATTAAGAATTATCCAGCTCCAAATGAACAGCAATCCTATTTATCAGCTGGTACAAACCCCCTGTGCACCACCTGCCTCAAGCAGCAAGGGGAGCCAGGCCTTACCCGAGCTTGCTGAGGTATGGCAACACTCCACTGGAACTGAGGTAATGTGTAACCATGCCACTGCCTGGTGATAAACTTGTTCTGATGTAGGGCTTCACCACCAGGCCAGCCTCCACGGCTTTTTTGGCCAGGAGTCCTACCAAACAAAAAGGGAAAAAGCCAAAGAGACAGATTATGACTTGTATATCCCTTTATATCCCTTAACACGACACCTGTATGCTGCTACCTTAGTTAAATGAAGCATAAAAACCCACAGAGGATTAGACAACTTCCAGTTTATCAATTTATTAAAGCAACTACTGGCCTGAATAAAGTTTTTTGACTCATAATAATAACACACAGGTTTTTGTTCCCATTCCCATTTTCTTTTCTGTAAGGAAAATGTCTTTCCCATGTTCTAGCTGACAGTGCAAATCCACTCAGTGTTAGAGACTGGCCACAGAGGCCCAAAGGGAAGCTCACCTTGATCACAGAGGACCTTAAAACATGAGAGCAAAGTGTGACACGTGAGCTGTTCCAGCAAAACCATCTGCAGCTTGTGAAGGTGCAGCAGATACCCCTTAAAAAGTGACACATCAACTGTTCAGCAATGCAGAGTTTCTGTCCTGTTCCATGGTGTTCCAGCTCATCATCACCCAGGACAGGCTCCAAGCTAAAGCCCCCCTGTGCATCAACTGTGTCACCTGACAAGAGCCCTGCAATTGCTTCCCTGCTGGAGTACTACCAGGTGTAAATATTCTTAATTACTCTCTTTAATACTGCTTTATGGCACAAACTTGCAGACTGTATTGTGGAAAAATAACTTTCACTAGATCACCTCCAGAACACACAAGTTAAGGCTACAAGCCTGTAGTTTCAAACCTTTAGGTCGAGTTACTGCAGAGAACCTCCAGAAGTGAACACCTGGGGCACCACAAAGGCTGTGGGTTGTGTGCTCCTGACGTACCTGCAGCCAGCATGACAGAGGGGTTGCAGTTGTTGGTGCAGCTGATCACTGCAGCAATGACCACACAGCCGTGGGACAGCTGGTATTCATTTCCTTCATACTGAACAGGCACCGTGTCCTCCTGCTTCTCAGCTGCAATCTGGAACCCCTTCACACCACACTGGAGGGCAAAGATACTTGTTAGCAGCTGCCTGGGTACACAAAGGATGACAACAGAGAGACCAAGGGAAGCCTCATCTTGAAATAACACTCAGCTGTGCCATTAGGAACCTTCAAACAGATTTTACAGGCAGCCCTCAGTTCACGCCCCTCTGTAAATACACTGGTCTCATCATCCTTCCTTCACCACTCTGCAGCTTTAACTCTGCAGCAGTTGGGAACAAATGCCAGTCTACAAGTGGCTGATGCCACAACTCATTCCCTGCTGTCCAGCAAAGAACAACCCCTTATGAGTCCCTGTCTAATCCTACACAACACTTGTTGCTGAATTAGAAGCATGTCCAAGATTAGCTGTAAGAGTATGGTAGCTAAACCAGAGTAGGTAATTAGCATTTCACACCCTCACCTGAGTGCTCCCAGCACTCAAACATCCTCAGGGGTCCCTTTCAAGCTCAACCTTTGCCTTCCACAGTCAGCTCCCACTTCCTCCAGCACGACTGACCACTGGGTCACAGCCTCAATAGAAGCCAAAGCCAACAGGATGAATTCTTACTAACACTGCTGCCAGTCTTGAACTTTAGTGACAAACACTAAAAATGAAGGTACATTCCTGTACTGGCTGCATTCTTAGATACCTGAATACATCCCTAACCAAAGATAATACACCTCAGAGTAAAAACATTCACTCTGTGAAGTCGAGTTAAGCTGTAAGCAAAAATCATTTGCTAAGTTAAGAACCTGGAATGCTGCTTAGCTACAAATCTTGGCAGTCTTTCTGAATCTCCTTTAAGATATGATAAGTTTTCTCTTCTCCTGATAAATTCTGTTGTGGAAATCAAGTAATACACAACTGTTTAAAAAATCCTTGAAAAAGTGAAAAAGTTTCACAAGCTCACACTGTGTATTACTTAAAGTTCTTCCTCCCTAGCAATCTAAACTGTGACATTAAGGATATTTGGAAGCTCATGTTCCTGCCAAACCACTTATGATTTACCAACTTTACTACCCTTGGGACACTTGTCAAGCAAGAACAGAACACCCTGGCCAAGCAGTTGTGTAGCAATAAGGAGGGTCAGCAGCTGTGCAGGGAACAGGCAACCTAACATTGACTCACATGGATTACAGGAAATACCTTAGGAAGAGAACATCAGTGGTACAAACCTTTTCATTTAAGCAGGCTTGGAAGTCACTCTTCATGTTATTAACAGCCACTCTGTCTTGGGATCTCTTGGGACCACTGACATATGGAATTATAGAACTTAGACTAACTTGCACTACCTAAAAAACCAAGGAACAGAAAGCACAGGCATTACCAATCCCAGCCCAGCAGGACATGGATGTGGAACTCTTGTTAAAAATCTGAATGTTCACAGACATTTGGAACTCTGGGCTTCCGTTTTCAAGACCACTCCCTGTAAAAGGCTACTCATCTTATTCCAGGGGTTTCAACATGATCCTTAACTTTTCTAACCATCCATAAGATTCGAGAGTGACTGAAATTCAGCATCTGTTAGTTGACATAATGTTACTGTACTTCCCTTATTTTCCCCACCCCCTCTTATGTTTTGCAAATAAACTCTGCTTCTTGAAATGGTGAGTTAATACATAACAACTTTGCTGAAAGCAATGCAAATGACGGGGAGACAAGCCTGTTAAATCCTCAGCAGTTATTTAGGAGAAACAAACCCCACCAAGTCCTTCCCAGCATACCTGGGAATAGTCAGGTTCTCTGGAAGAACTCTCATCACTTCTAAATAACTTCACAGCTTTAAGATATGCTTCCATGACTTCAAGCTTGGCCTTGTCCAAACCTTAGGAAGGTGATTTCAAACATGAGAAGAGTCACATTAAAGACAAACCACACAATCTTCAGAAGTTTAGATTCTTAAGTGTAACATTCAAAGTACTTTTTTTTTCAAGCACACCACTTCCATACCCCAACCTCCAGAAACTATTCAGGAACGATACACAATTTAAAACATTTATAAATGATTATATTTTTTTCTGAATTAGCTTAACTTGTCTTTTACACCAAGGAATAAAATAAGTTATTCCAGCTCTAGCAGTTGTGACTCTAATTAAATTTACAGATGTGTCCCTGAAGGCCATAAGGCTTTTCTCTGTTAAGATTTACTGGTTTAATACAGACCATGTGCTGAGCTGACAATAGGCAGAATTGCTGGCTACTGTTTGGAAACTGTTCATTTGCTCTGCACTAGCCAGACAAACATATTTGCTGTTAAAAATATTTAACTCATTTAAAACTGAAAGATTTCATTTCAGAAAGGCTCCCTCATGAATGAGCCTTTTTTGGTATCTGCAGCAGCTTGATAAGGAACTGTCATTCTCCTTGTTTAGCCCGAAATCATGAGCTTCAAAGGGAAACAATCCACTGGGGAAAAAATCAGGGACGTGATTTGTTCTGCAGATTCACTCCTTTCTAGTAATCATTTTAAATTTTGATCCTGCAGGGAATCTACAGGTGGTTAATGGATTCATTTCAAATTGAGAAGACTTACATTCCATACACATTTCAAAATGCAACTGAGAATTTCCTTCATACTTTTCTTTTAAAGGGTGTTTTCAAAAACAAGGGCTGTGGATGTTCAAAAATAACATCATGTTCATAAATCAGGTATTAGACAAATGAACCAGACTGGACACAAACCTCAAGCACAAGTCTAATTATACATTAAATCCACATCAGAACTCTACACAGTGTAAAAACTACGGAGTTCTAAGCAAAAAAATTGTATTACCACAAATCAAAAGCACAATTAGAAGGAATCACTATTTTAATTTCATCTTTACCTGTATGCTTTAAGTGCTTCAGTGTCACATTATCAACAGGGAAAAAACTCAGAATAGCACCATATTCAGGACACATATTTGCTATTGTGGTTCGGTCTGCTACAGACAGCTGGGAAACACCACTCCCAAAAAACTCCACAAACTTTCCAGCCACCTCAGCTTGCCTCAGATGCTGTTGGAAAGAACACACAACAACACTTGTTATGTGCAGAGGTACAATGCAAGCCATGTTTGTCACAACAATTCATGAGTCACGAATATTTAATATAAAAAGCTGAAACCCTAAGGCTACGTTTGAAAAAAAAATTATTATAAATGACTTTTTAGTGAAAGAGGACATGGAAATAAAATGACTATAAGGGTAAAGAAAAACCTGCTACTTCAAAGGACTAGTAAATAAAAATGGTTAGAGATTATTTGTACCTTTCTGCACTGCCCTGATCAAAGGTGCACTAAAAACACTCCCGGTGTTTAATTCAGGTCTCAAATGCCACTGGTGCTACTGGCAACAAACTCTCTCCAGTCTGAAAAGGCATCAAACACTTACCTTTGTAATGCTCAGAACAATATCTATGGAGGTGGCAAAGGGGCTGACTGTGCCTGTGAGCTCACAGCCCACCACCTCGGGCAGGGTGAGGGTGAGGGGCATTCCCAGCATCACCGCTTCCGTCTCGATGCCCCCGACGCCTGGAAGGGAACATCACAGAGCTTGAGTGACCAACCCTCTGCATGGTCAGCTCCTAACAGTCTAAGAACACCCTTTCTATTAAGCCTACAGGCTGTGACAACAAACATATTGCTGCTTCTCTTGCAAGTGAAGGACATCCCTCCATTCCCCACACAGACGCAGCAAGAAATGCAGGAGTTGCGTTAAATCAAAACCCAAAATTCAAACCAAGCACGACCACTGCTCAAGTTAAATGGCACAGCCAGGCAGAAAATATTTTATATCTAAAGCTAATTTTCTGAGAGAAACCTTCATGCAAATTTTTGTTGTACAAACAGCACTTATTTGAATATCAGTTGGTTTTTGGCTGTTTTCTCTTTTAATTACAGAGTCATTTCTCAGTGGAAAGAAATGTTAGTCAAGATTGCTTTTAGACAAGAAACATGCAGAAGAATAATTCAAGAGTCTGTTATGCTTGAGATACAAACATGCAGCTTTAGTGTGCCTGTCCAAGTGCAATGAAGTTATTCTGAGCATACTTACCCCAGCCCAAGATACCCAAGCCATTTACCATGGTTGTGTGGGAATCTGTGCCAACCACACTATCGGGATAGAGCAAATCCTTAACTTCAAAAACAACTTTGGACAAATATTCCAAGTTCACTTGGTGAGCCGTTCCAGTCTCAGGTGGAATTATGGAAATGTTCTTGAAAACCTTTGAACTCCACTGAAATGTTTTCAAAACGAGAAGAAAAAGAGTTGCATTTTTTTCAAAGGTATATTTAATTCTTAGTACATAACTAAAAAGGCAAAACTAAGACACAATAAAGGAGTCCTTACTATTTACCCAGGGGGCTTTTGCTCCTTTGTCAAACAGAGGCACCTGATCCCCCTGGATACATTCCTAATTATCAACAAAACCACTCACTCGACTCCTGTGAAGGCTGAATCAGTAATTCATACCTACCTTTCAAAAGCAGGGCAGCAGCAATCTCTTACCTTCCAGTTCACACAACTTATTTCAAGCCCACCTAAGACTGATATTTAGAGAACAGAACCTAAGCACTTGTATTTATAGCAGAATTTGTATTTATAGCATAATTGAGTTTAGGTTTGACACTCCCGAGTGAGACCATCTGCAAACTCAGGATGGTACATTTAACAGAGCTGACATGGAAACTTGTAACAAGATTCAGCTTGGCCATTTCCTTCTTTAATAATGTAAAAGCTAATTTGCTTCAGAGAGAAACCTCCCAGTCTACACATATGAAAAGAGTCTTAGATCATTGCACTGAATTCCTAAACCATGTCAAATTAGTCCATATGATGAGGATCAATACCAATGTTGCAGGTCTCTGCCCAGCAGCAGAGAAGCTGATGCTCCCCACGGGACTTGTGCTGCCCAGCCTGAGAGCAGCCATGTCTGAACACTGCTCTCTGCTCAACACTTCCAGCTCCAGGAAGTTTTATAACAGGGCTGGAGATAAATGAACCCTTTATCCAGAGATTCATTGTGACCTAAGGCACTGAGCTCGGGAAAAGGCATTAAAAAGACTAATGCTTCATAAATCCCCACGGACAAGAACCGAATCAGAGTAAACTTTTTCAAGTTAGAAAGCCAGTTTTCTGCTCCTGTATTAAATTCAGATTTGAGAGTCTAACACTTCCAAATGATTACACTTAAATTTATCATCTAAACCTGAACAGTGGTGGACAAATGGCTCCTAAAAAAAGCCCAGAACACAAAGCCAGCAGGTACACAGACATACCTTAAAAAATTGAAGCCTCTCTCTATTTCTGCCAAATTCCATCTCTTGATTTTTCAATACCGTCTCAGGCCTAGAAGATAACAAGTTTACAAGGACTGTCAAAATGCATTTCAAATTACAGAAGAACAAGTTGCAGTTTTAGCTTGTTTGATGAAAGACTCATTTAAGCCTGCAGGACTATTTGAAGTGGTTTATTAGAACAAAGATAATTGCTTCCCTGCAGCAAGCTTTCTGTAAACAGTAAGAAACAGCTGACTCCACGTGTGCTGCTCCTGAGAACAGGTTTATTCCAGGTATGGTTTGCCTAAAGCATCTGATCTCAGAAATACTTTAAGGGATCTATTCCAGGCATATGCTATGATACACAGAAGCTTTTTTACCCCCACGAGTTGTCTCACAGGCTGCACACCTCAAAACCCCACACAGTAGAGAACCCAGATGTTCACTAGCTACTGGGAAAACATGCTCCACGTTCAGAACTAGCCCTCAGCAGCTGAGTAGAACATCAGGGCAATTGTGACTGTCCTCCATCCTCCATTTCCCTCCATGCCACAATTTTTTCTTCACAAGTACTCATTTGCAGCCTCATAAAATGAACTATCTTTTCTTAGTAAGTGTTGTATTTATTAAGACACTGATAGTTGTTATAATAGAGTAATCCGTAACTTAAGAGGAATATTCTCTGCTTTGAGTAGCTGAACAAGGAAGGGAATACATTTGCTTTGTACCAGGAAGCTCTCAATTTTCAGAGGTGTATTTTACACCATGAGCCTTCCCTTTCCTCCCTGCAGCAGCAGCAGTTCAGCAGCTCCAGTGCTCTGCCAGGCCCTGAGGGACAGCCAGTGTGACACTGCAGCTCCATCACCACCCCTGCTGGGCTGTGCCACAGCACCGGTGCTGCTGAAAACACCACTCCTCCTGCATCCTGCACCTGCACTGAGCAGGAATGTTCCCACATCTACAAAATTACCATGGCACTCAGCACAGTATCTGTGGGGTACAGATTGGATCAGCTGGTAAATGCTCCACCTGTCCAGCACAGGCAGATTGGGATCTGAACAGTCCATCCCACCAAGGAGGCAGCTCAAAGAGAAGGTGATTCTGTGTAATTGGCAGAGCTGGAGAGGAACACACCGACCTGGGAATAACACAGAAACCTGGGCAAGGCAGAGATGAGCCTCCCCTGGGCCATTACAGGGCAGGATATTTACTGAATTGCAGCCCAGTGACAGATGGACTGTGAGATCCTGTAAAGATTGGGGGATGATGTATAAGTTACTTTTAAGAGCCAGAGACTTCTGAAAAGTTATCACACAAAAGCTATAAATTACTTTCAGAAATAAACCAATGCTTCACTGATTTATTCACTCGGGTTTGCTTTCCAACATACAGAGGATTACGATCCTCTGCTTTGTTGTCCTCGTGAAGAAACAAGGGAAGTATCAAAATTTAATTTAAAAGTCACAGCCATAAGCCAATAGTTGGCCATCTGCACTGAGTTCAGTAAAGCCCTTCTTGTAAAACAATAAATTTATTGCAGACTAATTCATATCTGCTACATCTGACCTTCTTCTAGCTACTGAAACCTGCCTATGGCACAGCTGAGGAGGACAGACGCGTAAAAAAATCCCACTTCCATGAGCTGTCACAGGCAGAGCTCAACAACACACAAGGTACAAAGAGACTCAGAAGAGGTTGCATACTCAGGCACGGGCTGCAGGTGGAAGGGGCAGAGGATGGGAGTGTTCTCGATCTGCGCGGAGAAGGGCGCGGGGTGCCGGCCGGACTCGCAGGGCCCGCCCCTGCAGCCGCCCTGGCCCCGGCACGGCACCTTCCGGGGCTGCGCCCGCAGCGGCGACAGCCGGGCCGGCGGCTTCGGCACCTCCCCGCCGCCGGGGTTGGGGGCGTTCTGTATTGCACTGCAACACAAAGAGAACCACAATCGGTCAGGAGTTTGCGCTTCCCCACTCCCACCTTGGTTTTTTTGCAATCCCTTCAACAGATTATAAAATATCATCTGAAAAAATAGAGTTATTTTACTACGATCCTGTTGCAAAGTAAACTACGGCTGGATAAGCTTAGTTAAGTAATGTGGCACGGTAAGAAGTAAATGAACAGAACCGGATTGTCCGAAAGATTAACACCACACAGCTCCTTCCATTTGTTCACAATAGGCCAGAAATCTTTATAAAGAGCATTGCAAAGGCTGAACTCAGGGTTTTAAACTTGGAAGGTGTTCACACAGTCTCATCCAAACAGTAGAATCAACTTGGTTCTTTTTTTTTTTTAAGACTGTTCTGTACGTGTTCTGTTAAATCCACAGAGGAACGATTACAGGCAAAGCTTTCTCAAGGAAAGAAATGTAACTTTATTATTTAATTAGGCTTTTTATCCAAATTCTCAAAGATTCAGATAAATTTTATACACTATTCAAGTCAGTCAGAAGTAGGACAGAAAAGCTGGAGTTTTTTTTAAAAAATAAAGTCCATACAGCACAGTACCCTCTATTCATACAACATCCAGTCTGTGCAGGAGAGTAAAGAAAGCCTGTAAAAAACTAATGACTATTTACCTCTCAGTAATTACCAAATCACATATCTGCAATTAAAGCCACTGCTTTCTCCTGCTTTAGTAACACAGGCAGATACTCAGTTATCAGAGGGCAGGAGAGCGCTGGCTCAGAGGATACCTGGTGTAAATCCCACCCCAGCCCAGCAGGCCCTGGTCTGCAGGAGGGGGGAGCTCTGTGAAAGCAGCACAAACCACCCTGCAGGGAAGGGCTTCTTATCACAGCCCAGCAGCTGCCCAGACCCAAAAGCTTCCCAAGTGATGATGCTACAGAGCCTGGATTTATCATTACAAAGCAGCACACTGAGACCTCTTGCCAATGCTTGGTCTGCCTGATAATTTTAGGCTGGCCTAATTGCAATGGAATCAGCTGTCCCTGCAGACACAGGCACGGCCAGAGCACAGCACTGACACGGCACATCTGCAGCACAACCCATCACTGCAGCTTCTTCCTCCTCCACCACCAACCAGACTGAAATCCTGGGAGCCCTTGGAAGGCTGACAGAAATGACTCACACATCCCTGTCCATCTGACCACAGGCCTCTCTTCCCCACGAACTTTTAAAATTCCCAAAGAGCCTGAGCAATTTATGCAATTCTGCATGAGTTTGGAAGGCTCCACGATGGAGGGGCAGGGGAGAAGGTGGAGGGAAGCCACATTATTTAGTGTTTCCTTCAGCAAACACTGAATAAAACTCAAGTTGTTCCTCTTCTGCAGTATTATGTTTCCAGCAAAGGCAGCCCCGGGCTGTGTTCATCACATCACTGCCTGTCAGACAAGGAAAACCACACTGGTAGTTTTCCAGTCCTCATACTTGTCCAGACTTCTCCAAGTACACTTATTCTCTCTGAAAATATATGCAGCTACATTTATCTGTTTGAACAATATAAACAGAGCAAAGCAAAATTACAAACTCCCTCTGCCTCATCCTCTTGAGACATATTATTTTCTGGAAAGCATGCCAGATCCTGTTATTTCAGAAAAATCCTGCCCAGAATTGGGATTATCAGTCAGCTTCACCCAGAATGCCTCACAAACATTCTTCCTCTCCTTCAAGAGTGTTAATTTAGCCATTTTTATCCAGCCTTTTTTCAATTACCACCACGTCTCACTGCAAGGATCCACCCAGGATAAATGATTTGATGGGACAGTACCAGGACCTGAATGAATCCACACCTCAACTGTCAAACAAAAATGTATAGTTTGTAAAAGAAAAGTACATTACCATTTGCTGAAATCAATCTGCAGAGAATGGTCAACAGTGAGATCAGTGGGGCAGGCAGGGTTGACTTTCACAGGATCTCCTCCAGCATTTCTCACAGCTTCCCTCATGGCAGCAAAATCCACCATCGCTGGAATTCCACTGACAGATGGAAAACCAAAATAGTACATGAGACATGAACTCACCAAAACACACAAACTTCTTTTTAACATTATTTAATTCTAGATCTAGCTAAGTCTCATTTCAGATGACAACCCCCTGTTATTATATTCTCTCAGTTTTAAAGGGCTTTGACCATTTCTGAAGCCAGTGGAGTTGGTTCACGTTCCCCTCACGTGTGAGGACATGAATACAGACACATGAACACATGAACCTCAGACACAGCCACAGTTCTTGTGTCTGGCTGTGCTTCCCTGCAGAGCTAATCTTTAGATACTCCTTACCTTTATGGTGGAACCTTGCTGTACATTTTAACACCTCAGCAGGTGTTCTTTGTCTAACAGAGCCACTTCTGAAGCTCATAGCATTTCACAAAACTATTTGTGTTGCTATGACACGGATAATAAGCACACCTGAAGTACAAAGCTGAGAGGGGGTAATGTTTATACAACACAGAACTACATAAACCTCACTGGCTTTGCCTGCTAAGCAGAAGTTACCTCAAATTTATTATTATCATAATTCCTTTTTTTAATTATCTTGCTTCTTAATAAATAGAGTCAGTGAGACAGCTTCAATTGAATGTTTGCAAGTTGCTGAAGGACTGCCCTTTCAGCTATGTCAGAGTCCAATCACAAAGAAGTTAACATCCTAAGAGACTGCTTTTTAGATGTATGTATTATTCATGATTCAACTGGATTACTCATTGTGGAGTAAGCAATATTTAATCTTCAATTATCTCAAGCAAGAATTCCATGTATTTCAGTGAACCGTCAGCCATCTGGCTACAGCCAGACATCACCACTTCCATTTGTGTTCTGGCTCTTATCCTGTGAAGTGTTCCTTGTGGACCAGCAGCTTCAGCCCTGCCAACCTGCACTAAAGCCAGGGCACCCTATGGAACAGCTCCTGCCCTTGCATCATATGGAACTATCACAAGGAATGCCCTGAACAGCAGAAGCAGTGCACAGGCTTCCATGGAAGAGCAGACCCCTGGGTATCAAAGGCGAGGTGTGATTTATGGCCAAGGGCTGCACATCAGCTCAGTGAGTTCACACAGGTGCCTTCAGGGCTTTTGGCGCTCCCACACTTACGTGAAGTCTTGAAGAACAACTCTGGCAGGACAGAAGGGCACTTCGACATGGTTCTGTTTTGTTTTCCAGTCCAGGATGTTCATGGCATCCGTCTCCTTCACCAGGAAGCCGTCGCAGTTGCGGACGCTGGACTCGAACAGCACTCGGATGGAGTAAGGCAGAGTGTCTGGGGAGCAGGGACACAGTGACTGCAGCACCTGCAGCTTTGGAAAGTTACCATCCCCCATTGCTGAAGAATTCCACTTTTCTAGGCATTGGAAGGCTGAGAGCTTCAGGAGCCTGCTCTTCCAGTTGCCTTTGGGTTTGATCTTCCTTACACAGTCTGGAGCAGTGAGCTGCACAATGCACATCCTGCAGGAGATGAGTTATCCTACGGGATCTGAATGGGAGACACCCATGGCCTGACCCCCCTGTGTGCACACAGTGACATTTAGGAAGGTATGTTATGCTGACAGGGGAGACACCCAGGAACACAGAGCTGGGATTATTGATCAGAGCAGGCCAAAAGCAACTGCAATTAGAATATTCAAACCCCCTTTTAACTGTAAATTTCACCATTGCATTACTCGAGATATCAAGCCAAAAGCATCCACTGCCAGAATATTATTTTAATAAACAGTGACATGAAGACCAGAAACTGTTCTGCCACGTGCCCTTTTAACATGAAACACACTTCATAAAATATAAACAAGGGCATTTCACTAAATGTAACTTGAGTTAGTTTGCTACTGATCTGAATTAAGGTACTGACAAGCAGCAGTTTTCTGGCAGAAAAAAAACAGGGAAATGAAAATATAATGAAAAAAGAGACAAGTTAAAAAAATCCCCCATGTCACTATTCACAGCACAGAAACAAACAAAAACTGAAACAAAAACAAAATCAAGGTTAATTGATTCCTCTCCCAAATCCCATTATTTTCAGCATCATTCAAGCAGTCAACTTCATGAGAACAGGGAGAAATACAAAAAAAAGTTAGTTAGAAGGAGGTGAAAGTTAAGTTCAGGCTTTAATAAAAAAAGGTTAGAATTGGTGGTCTTAACCTAATCCAGAGGTTTCTTCACAAACCATTCATACAGAATTTGCTGACTCTGTTCTCATTGTGTCTTTCTCAGATATTATTCATTGTTGTCTGAGTAGACAAGTCCCTATTTCCAGTGTAAGAGCTGGGTGAGTTTGAGTATAAAGATGTCACCAGAACCACATCTAATGACCTGTCATGCCACCCCTCACATGATTTCCAGGCCAAGTTCCCAGAAGGGACTGTTTTGGTTTCTCATGGGTTACCAACACCAGGCAGTGACAAATCCACTGCCCCAGGGCTGCTCAGCACCACTGTGGAGAACCAACTGCTCCTCTCCAGGAGGCACAGCGAGCTCCCAGCTGCAATCCCGTGGGCAGTGGGGGCTTCCCAGGATCCAGGACATCTCCAGAAATGGGATCACATCCAGCACAGGGCCCTCCAAGAGTTCTGGGACTGCTGTGCCTGCCTCAGGTGCTGTGGGCTGGCTGCCCCTGAGGGACACAGCGAGTGAGGGGTCTGCAGCACCCACCACCCCCAGAACTGCAGACGGGGGCAGGCCTGACTGAGAAGCACCCAGTGACAGCACAGTGAAAGCCCCAGGGTGCAGGAAGGGACACTGGGACTGGATACAAGGAAAAAGCAGCTCACAGGGAGGGTGGGGAAGCACAGGATACAAGGGGGGGGAGTCTCTGCCCTCCCAGCCTTGCAGAGCTCACTTGACAAAGGCTCCCCACAGCAGCTCCAGACCCAGCAGGAGCCTGGTCCACATCCCCACGTCCCCTCTGCCCTAAAGCCTTCTGAGCTCTTTCAGGTCCCCATTTCCCCGTAACTTTTAAACACTAGAAAATCTCCCTAGAAAACTGGCAAAGAAATCAATTAACATTTACACTAGCAATCTGATTAACATAAACAATTACAGCCAGAAGCCCCAAGGCAGAGGGCAAACAGGTAAAACTGAAAATGTTCCAGCAACAAATGCAGAGAGCAATTCCAGAGGCTGGATTTGCTACCAGTGCTGCCCCACACTGTGTCTAAATGTCATTTAATATTTTGCTGTCTTGTAGTTAACACGAGGCTTCCAACTTCTGCACAGAAGTTTCTACTGGAGGACAAAGACCCTCTTAATCCAAATTCCTGCAAGCTTTTTCAGGAATACCCGTTGCTGCTCCAAGATTTATGGCACATTTTAGCAGAAAGTGCTATCTTGTGGTTGTATTTCCACTCCTGTCTTGAGGCTTTTCAAAAAACTGCTGTGGAACTGCCTGGTTTTGTTACCACCAGGACACTGCTTCTCCCTGGGCAAAGCCACCAGCAGAAACCTTCTCCTTCCTTCAGTTGTGCTTATCTGAAAGATTAACTTTGTTACCACAAGCAGGAGGAATTTGCAAGAGCCCTCAGCCGTTGCACAAAGTGTCAGCAGACTCTGTGCCCTGTGCTCCCCTCTCTCTCCCCTTCAAGCCACAGGGAATTAATTATTGTGTCAAATACCAGTTTAAAGTGAAACATCCACTGGTAATTTTTTTTACTTAACAAACACATCACAAATCCCGTGAATACAGAAGAATTCAGACCTTGCCAAACTAAAAAAAAAAAAATCCCAAATGCCTCTAGTAAGTACCTCACATAAGTATTTTAGTTTAACATGAGAGCAAAGGGAGAGAATAACACGAGCGTGTTTTGATTCCCTGCTCCAGCTGGCACTGGGCAAAGCTCCCTCCCCTGGATCCCCTCCCACCACATGTGCAATTGGGAGCTTTCAAAAGGCACTGGGACAGGCAGACCCAATAAAGGCCTTTCTGGCACAGACCACTGTCACATACTAATGACAGGCTGGGATTAAACAAAGCCTCCCCTTCCTGCAGCAGGAGCCACGTTCTGGCAAACACAGACTACGTGAGGCTGCTGGGGAGGTGAAACCAGAACTCCACAAAGCTGCACAAAACTACAGTAAAAGCTGGTTCTGTTTCTGAAGGAGTTCTTTGTCACTTCACCTGTTTTCCAAAAGTGTAATTATTCTGATTTGGAATATTGCTGAAAACTCCAGCAACACCCCAATGAAAAAAAATCTCCAAGTATTACCCCTGCCAGCTTCCTAAAGGAGTGAGAAAGTGGGAAACGCTCGGCTTCCAAGCATTAGGAATTGCTGCCTGCATCCCCCCACCCTGCAGGGCAGTCAGGGCGCCCTTTGCTGCTGGTCCCACCCCAGTCACCCCCCAGAGCACCACGTACCATACTTGGTCCCTCCGAGCTTGGACACATTGTAGAACTTCTTCTGGGGGTGGTTTTCCAAAGCTTCAATGACGGGCTGGTAGGGGCTTCCTGGGGAGGAAACAAACAGTTACAGACACCAAGGAACGGGAGCTTCCAGCGCCCACGGAGCACACACAGGAAAAAGATTTTATTTCTGATTTTACCAAAAATAACGTTCCTCTGGACTGTAAGTAAATGTAATACGGACAGGCTTCTAAACGGATTGAGACACCTCGTGATGCAGGTGTGTGACTAAGGTGGATTTTAGAAGCACTTGCAATAGCAGGTGCACACGGGTCACGCAGGTCACGGGCACAGCCCGCACACACCTGACCTTTGTTGTCTCGGTTTGCCATCTACACACAGGGCAAGGCACCGGCGCAGATAACAGAGCCAGGGTTCGGTACCGCGGGAGGCACAAAGCGCTGCCCGCCGAGCCGGCGTCATGCGGCCGAGGGACAGAACGAGCCCCGCCGCAGCCATTAGTGCACAGAATAAATACCCCGGGGGGGGGGCGCGGGCAGCGGGGCGGGGACGGCGCCGCCGCGCCTGGCAGGACCCCCGCGGCCCGGGGCTGCGGCGCTGGGCGGCGCGGAGGGCGAGGCGCTGCGTCGGGCCCCCGTCGGGGCGGCCCCGGGCCCGCGGTGACCGACCTGCGCTGGGAGGGTCCATCGCCGGCCACCATGTCCGCCTGAGGGACCGGGGGGGCGCGCGCCTCTCGCGAGACTGCGCCGCGCCCCGCCGCCGCCGCGGCACGGATCTCGCGAGACTGCGCCCCGCCCCGCCCCCGCGGGGGGACTGATCTCGCGAGACCGCCCTCAGAGCCGGGCAGGAAAGGGCGCAAGATGCCGCGAGGCTTCGCAGAGAGGGCGGAAGTACCCGAGGGAGGGCAGCGGCCGCTCTCGCGATAACAGAGATGGCGAAAAGGGCGGGGCCACCCCGTGGGACGGGCTGGGGGCGGGGCCGAGGGCGGGGCCGAGGGCGGGGCCGAGGCCGCCCCCTGGCGGCACCGAGCGGTACGGCGGGAGGGAGCGGGTGGGACAGACCGTGTGACAGTGTGACAGTGTGACAGTGTGACACTGCCCCTGTGACACTGCCCCTGTGACACTGCCCCGTCCCTGTGTCTGTCCCTGTCACATTCCCTGCCCTTGTCCCTGCTCCTGTATTCCTGTCCCTGTCCCTGAGTCCCTGTCCCATTCCCTGTCCCTGAGTCCCTGTCCCATTCCCTGTCCCTGTGTCCCTGTCCCATTCCCTGTCCCTGAGTCCCTGTCCCATTCTCTGTCCCTGTGCCCCTGTCCCATTCCCTGTCCCTGAGTCCCTGTCCCATTCTCTGTCCCTGTGCCCCTGTCCCATTCCCTGTCCCTGTGCCCCTGTCCCATTCCCTGTCCCTGAGTCCCTGTCCCATTCCCTGTGCCTGCCCCTCTCCCTGCCCCTTCCTCTGCCCCTGTCCGTGTCCCTGCCCTGTCCCACCCCTGGGATCAGCCCCTCGGCACATGGAGTCATAGAATGTTAAGGGGCTGGAATGGACCTTAAAGGTCATTTATTCCTAGCCCCTGCCATGGGCAGGGACACCTCCCACTAGCCCAGGTTGCTCCAAGCCGCATCCAACCTGGCCTTGGACACTTCCAGGGATGGGGCAGCCACAGCTTCTCTGGGCAACCCGTGCCAGGGCCTCCCCACCCTCACAGGGAAGGATTTCTCCCCAGTCTCACAGGGAAGGATTTCTCCCCAGTATACAAGCTGAATTTCCCCTCTTTCACCCATTACTCCTTGTCCTGTCACTCCAGTTCCTGATGAACTCTCTGGTTCCCTGTAGCCCCTTCACACACTGGAAGGAGCTGTGAGGTCTGCACACAACCTTCTCTTTTCCAGCTGAACAGCCCCGTCTCTGTCGTTGTGGGATGCTCCCTGCTCTCTTACCAACCTCCTCCTGCTCAGATGGCAAAGGACGGCCCCTGAGGAATAAACAATTGTCAGCAAACCTCCCCCAGGGCAGGGGGTGAAAAGTGCCCGTGAGCTGGTTCCTAGAGCAGGGCAGGAACATCCATCGCCACGGCCCACACCGGGAGTGGGAAGGCGTGTGCTCAGCACTGTCCCACAGTGGGGCCTGACCTGGCTCTGCTCTGTCTCTCATACTGGATTTCTTTGGGAGGTTTTTTTCCTTTCCATATCTTTCTTTTTTTTCCTTCCTCTCAAGTAATCTCTTTTTCAATTTTATTTTTGTCTTGATCTTTAGTGCAGCGGTGGCAGAACACGAGGCCACGCTCCCCGTGGTGAACAAGTCAAGCAGCAGTAGTTTCTCCAGGCTATAACCCATAGATAATATCTGGGGTTTAGACACTAATGCAGCCAGAACTCACCACCAGTCTCAGGCAGCAAAGATTACCTGCAGGATGTCTGTATCTCAGCCTCTAATTGACCCACTTTTTGCCTGCATTTGTTTTGCCCTAAACTGCCATTGCCTTCCTGAACAGTCACAGAGGGACTTGACACACTGATTGAAACAGTTATACTCAAAATTGCCTGAGAAACCCTAATTCCAGCCTCCTTTCCCCTGTTTTAGATTGCAATGATGTCTGGCCTATCTCTGAGAGACTGCAGGCAGAGGGAACGGGGTGGGTGGGGACGTGGTGGAGAATGTGGCCCAGATGTGTCCAGAGGGGCTCCCCAAAATGCATGTTCACCATGCCCAAAGCTGTCTGTCTGACCAGATTGCTCATGTTTAGGGGTTTGTGCCCTTCTTACATACCAGATGTAAAGCAAATCTCGTATATATTTCGTATATATTCCACATATATTTATATATATAAATATTCCAAATTCCTTATATTTTTTATATGTATAACAAAATGTTTGGCTTTTAATTTATACCAAAAATTTTCTTTGTGTTTGCTTATTAGCACTTGAGCTACTGCATTTTTCTGCCTACTAGCTTTTTGTGTGATTTTTGTGGGATTCCATGAAGTCCTTTAAGGTATTGTGTAACTGTCTAGAAAGAAAGATGTCTTTGCAGTCTCCAGAATGTATTCCCTGTTTCTCAGCTGGCATCCAACATCCTGCAATAAGTCAAATCCAAGGGAGAGCTTATCCAGAAGAAAATGGGGCTGGGTGTTGCTGGTTTGTAATTAGAGCTGACAGAAACAGGCTAAGCAGAGTCTTAGTGGAGAAGGGAATGTGAATAGAGGGAATTACTTCGTGCTCCTTGTACAAGAGGCAGTCACTCCACGGGGAGAATTTCAGTTTCACCACATTTCAGACACAGACAGAGGTTTTGCTGTGCAAAAAGCTGAGCTAAATATTGCTCTCAGGTGTGTGTTCCACGGCAGTATCACACGGCAGAGAGAACCCGGTGCAACGCAATACACTCCCCCAGTTGTGCCCTCCTTTTGTCTTCCGCCCTTTTTTCTGTGAAGATGGATGGAGGACAGCAGCAGGAAGAACCAGAGAGCACCCACGCCACACATTCCTCTGCAGGAGAAGCAGGTTGATCCAGGAGTTTGAAGTAGAGCCCTTTGAATAAATCACTTCTAATCCTGGCTTCCATATGACTGCTGTATTTAAAGCTCAGATGCAGTAAATCTTACACAGTTCTTGCCAGGCAGTGAGAGATCTTCAGAGGAGGAGAGTAAAAATCCTTACACGTCTATAGATGGAACAAAATAACATAGCAACCTACGTTTTTATTCCACTGGAATGAATTTGTGAGAATAAGGAAGAAAACTTGGGAAACATCTTTAGAATATTTACTTTAAAAATTTAGGTCAGTCCAATCAATTGAGTCCGAGATCCACAAGTGAATGTACAGAGGGGGGTGAGACTAATCTGTGCACAGACTATGTCAAAACTGAGGCTACTTGGGGCAGCTGATTAAAAAGGTCACAACGACATTTTGGCATCGGCACATTTCAGTAACAAACTGAAAAAAGGGCTTGTAAAGCTGGGGTTGAACAATTTGTAAGAAAAAAATATCAAATGGTCATATTCCCTTATGTCTTGTGCCACAGCAGCAAAGCCACAGCAGTCAGGTGAGCTGTAAACTGAGAATATGGCAGGCTGGATATTTCACTAATAACATGACTGAATATTTACTTTTGGCTCCACATGGTTTGAGATACAATCTTTGCTTATGTAAATGTATTTTTTTTTTTTGTAGTGCAGGATCCTCAGTGCCACCACGCCATCTCCAAGAATATGAATGTAAGCTTTGCTTTTTATTGGATATTGCTTAAACTCACCACAAAAAATCCCTAATATCAAAATAAGTAGATTAATAACTGCCAGAGGGAAAAGCACTTCTTCCTGGCATGAGTCTGTGCTGTGTGAGCCAGTGTCACAAAAGACACTGAAAGTCAAGCTCCTTACCCATGCTAAGGCTCAATTAAGAAATGATACTCCCTGGATTTCTCATCCCTGGGATACTCATTAACTCTGACCAGTGTTTGTTACTTGATTCACTGATAACAATTCAAGTTGCTGTCGTAGTTTTTCCTCTAAAATGCTGGCACCCAGGAAATCAAAAATTTAGTTTTAGTCTCTTACAAGAGCTGCCCTTTAGATGGATGTACACAACTCTGAACCCCCTCTAAAAGTCCTTGCCAAGCACTGAGGAGACTCTCAGTGAGTCAGATGATAATGCTGTTCTGTAAATATCTACACATAGCACCTGAACTGTTCTAAAGCTCAGGTTGGGTATATGGAGAGCCCCAAGTGTCATGGAAGTAGCTTTTCTAAAATTATTTCTTGGCCACATTTTGTTCTCCAGATGAAGGAAAGAGGTGTTTAAGATGTTTTAAGATGTTTTACTTGTGAAAGAAGGGCTAATATACAGTATCCTTCAGGAACTGTGTTTGGGAGAACAGCCTTGCTGTGAAAAGTTTATTAGGACCAAAAGGGAAATCCAGTGAACAGCCTTTACTTCCAAATGCATCTGATAAAGGAATGGGGTGGTGAACTCTTGCTATTCTGAAACCAGGCACCTACTTTCAGGTTGCAGCACTGTTGTGCCTCCTGTGTCACTAGGGAGCTTGAAAAATTGCCCTTTCTAGTTACTCAGCAGAGTCTGAGTGTGTGCAAAGCCTTTTGCCCGAGATGTCAGGAAGAAGAAGGACTCTGTTATGCTGATGGCAGACGAGCTGAACTCTGAGCTGTGAGCACGAGAGCTTCGTTTCAGGAAATGCAACAACCAACTGGGGAACCTCCAGCTACACTGTCCAGGGCTTAGGGCAGCCTGGGAAGTATCAGGCTTAACAGCCCTGGAGATGACATCTGTTTTGGTTCAGGCTGTGGTTGTTACTGACATGCTTGTTTTAAATGGATGGCATCTGTTGCCTCCTTCCCTTAACGCTGCTGTAAATGGAGAGGGGAGGCAAGTTCGGCTTTCTTACCTCAGGATTTTTTGTGAGCTCAGGCTCTGCTGGCTGAGCTCCCACTCCTAAAACCCTTGGGAACAAGTGTGTTCCCCCTCAGGGAGGTAGTGCTCACCTGCCATCTGCTCTGGGGAGCCCAATTGCTCGCTTTCCTCACTCACTGCAGGAGAATGTTCCATTTGGCAAGCGCCACCACATCTGCAGGGGGAAGAGAGGGGGTGGAGTGCTGGGCACTGCTGTTGGGTGCATCCCAGAGACCCAGAGCTCCAGCCCTGCAGAGAGAGATGGCAAGCATAGAACATATTGCATATATCCACAAGAAAGAAATTTGGGGAATTTAGTGAAACAGTTGGCAAGAATGTTCATGAAGTCACACCCTTC